ATATATTTGACAATTTTAATAAAATCACAATATGTATAATTTTAATAAAGTTACAATGATCGCATGCCATTTTTATTCATCTATTCAAAAAAAACAAAGTTAAAAGGATAAATAAGCACACATTTATATCTACAACTAGGTAGTTGCAGATAACAAAATTAAAAGATATATTTAAAATCTAAACTTAAGCGACATATATATTAGGGGGATAATGAATTTATTAGAACACAGCATACTATAATATTAATTCCGAGAGTGCAACTCTGCACATGTTCAAAAAGCTAGGTGCATCCAGCATTACAAGACTCCATATTTAACTTACCTATTGTATTTGCAAGTTGAAGTGTAGGAACAAGCCTACCAACAAACTGTACGAAGCTAACAAAAACCATCCAAATGAAGAATTACAAACTAGCTCATCATTTTTTGGAGGTGTTGGTTGACTTGCTTTTGAGGAGTGATGATTCTTAGAAGTGGTATTAGGAGGACTTCTAGTATCTGGTATCTATCATTAAAAATGAAATGTTTCATGAATATGCTAAAAATAATAAAATATACCCAAATTAAAAGAGAAATACAAAGGAAGCTACAAACAGCCATAACAAGAGGTATGATTTTAATGAAAATACCACTTGGCAGCAGCCATAACAAGAGGTGTTAATGATTACTTTTTCTTTCTTTATTCTATCATTTGTAATTGTCATATGAATTTCACTAGTTCCTAAGCTTGTTTCTTTTATGTTGATCCATATAGGCTGTTCTTAAGATGCTAAGTGAGATTGAAACAGTAGAGAACATTCCTGAGTTTATTGAGGCTGTAAAGAACAGGTGATTGAATGTAAACCATTTCATGCTTTGTCTATTTCACAGGAGCTATCTTTCATATGCTGTATAAACCTCTAATTTATGTTCTTCTACTGCTTTATTTCTTTAGGAAGTGAAAGATGTCAGGTTTCAGACACCGTGTCTACAAAAACTATGATCCGAGAGGAAAAGTGATAAAGAAATTGGCGGAGGAAGTATTTTCCATTTTTGGTCGTGATCCCCTTATTAAGGTATTTATCAACTCCAAATTTTTTTTTCGATGAGATTGTATTTCCACTGCTGTCTGCCGCGAGTCCATTCAAGATGATTTTTTCTGTTATCAGCTTTATGATGCTTACCATTAATGCATGGAATAGAAAGTTGAATTTGGCTTGAATGATGGTCTTTGGCGACTGGAAAGTATTGACAATTCAAAATATTGTTTCAAAGCATTTTCCAAGTTTTAAGGATAGGGAATATGTAAATGCATGATATATGGAGAAAAAAGTAATTAGGTAAGAGGTTTTTCTCTGGTTCTTTCAAATTTAATAATGATACTTTTCTCTTTTTTTTTTTCACAATTTTTGTTTGTATAGTCTGATCTGCTAATTGTATTTCTATGTGTAAAATTATTTTTATTAAGACTAAACACAATTATTTATATTTTGAGTTTTATGGAATTCCCACATCTATGCTTTATTAGGTTATAACCAATATAGCAAAGAACAATGAAAGTTGACTATAAGAAGAAAGGGGGGAAAAGTACATGACTAACCTCATTAGGTTTTTGTTTAGATTCATGTGTTTATTGGAGGACTAGCATGGCTGCTACAGAACTGTTCACTTTATTATTATTATTATTATTTGTTCTCGTAATTAACGAAAACTGTTGTCTTACCACATTAGCCAATCACATATGTATGTTAAACAGAATAGAATTTCAACACTTTGGTTTTATAGCAGTAATGAATTAGACAAGTTTTTAGGTTTGAATTTTAGGGAGGAAGAAAGGGGAAGATAACAAGAATGATTGATTATTCGTTCCTTTTCCAGTTACTACATTTGTTATGATGATTCTAGATATAATTGTTAACATGGTTCTGCAATCTGTTTCTGCAGATAAGCAACAAGGGTGCTTTCATCCGTTATGAAGCTCCTGATTTGAAGCCAAACATTGTTACATTCTGAGGGGTGGTGAGTACCTCTGCATTGTGATATCCCTTTTTAAAATTTCAAATTGCAAATCATAACACTCTGTAACAATACCTTTTTGTTTGTGATTGACAGCCTCATCCTGATGTCAAGCCAATGGCATATGCAAACAACTTTCTTCGGCTGTTCCAATAACTTACATATTTGTCTTGAATGATCTATCTTCTATGGTTTGGGGGATACAAAAGCTACATATAGTGCTTGTTGACAATGCTGCTTTGACTAATAGTTTTTTCAGTGGTAAAGTTGAAATAAAAATTAAAGAAAACTAAAACACAGAGCAAGAGAACAAAGGCCGGAACAAGACTAAATAGCCAACGGACTAAGGCCATGATTTAAAGTCCATTTAAACAATTCTTATTATTATTCCTAGGCCCAATTAACGAAGCCTACTTTTAAACAGAACAAATTTATTTCAGGCGCATTGTTTTCAAGCTTGCAGCGCGCTTAAAGTCTGTTTGATTTAATTTTTAAGTGTTTTAATTTTTTTATACTATTTATATTTCATAAATTTAAATTTTTTTAAAAAAATATATATTTTTAAACTTAAAAAAATTTTAA